AAAACAAAATAATACATTATATATAAATATTTTCTTTTTTTTCTTTTTATTTAGAACTTAAAGTTATTGAGATCAGGTAATGATAGGAGAAAAAAAGGCAAATTAGCCCTTCAATATTATAAATTATTCAATACCTATTTTTGGGATTCTTCTCGTAAATATAAAGAATTTTATATTTATATTTTAATAAAATTTTTAATTTTTATAATATATTTTAAAATATTTTATATATATATTTTTAGGTGATGAATACGATGTTGAATTTCAAATAAATAAACAGGTTCGAGAGCAGAAAGATTCTTGAAGTGGTATGATAATATACTTGTTATTAAAGTTTAATTATATATTTTTTTTTTGGATTGCTAATTTTTTTTTCTTTTATAGAAAAGAAGTAAACAAAGACTTCTAATGTAAAAAATGGTAAATATATACTTTCCTTTAAAAGGGTTAATATTTTGATAAATTTATGCTTAGTAATAATTTTATTTTCTTTTTAGAGGAGCGATCTCTCCAAATTATAAATACAAACATTTTTTAAAGTTTTGATTTTTTTGACAAATTTACGTTAGTAATAACTTATTTCTTTTTAACTTAAATAATAGAGCTATCGGCTCAAATTAGTAAATATAAACTTTCTTTAAAAGTTTAAACATTTTAACAAATTTATGTTTAGTAATAACTTTATTTTCTTTTTGGCAGAAAAAGTTTCAGAAAATTGTAAATACAAATATTTTTTAATAACTTTATATATTTTTAACAATTATTTTTATAAATTTATATTTACTAATTATTCTATTTTCTTTTTATCAGAAATATTTTTTATTTATTTTTTATTTTTATTTTTATATAATATACAATTTTTTTTACTTTTTTTGCTTTTTTTTTTTTCAATATACATTTTTTTTTAAATTATTTTTCTTTTTTGTCTTGAGAAACGGGATTCTAAACACTTTAAGTTTATACATTTATTTTGAGTAGTAAGGCTCAGTTTATACCAAATATCAGCTGAAAACTCAAATTTTTTTTTGGACTGTTAAGGTATTGACATTCTTATCATGCAATCTGAGTACTATTTATAATAATAATAGCAAACACCTATTAAATTTCCTGATGTAAAAATATCTTAAAAAAATTAAGAAGTCATTTAACTAACATAATGTGTAACATAAATAAATATGTATCTGCTTATGTGATAAAATAATTTCTCACATAAAAGCCACGAATATTTTTTTAAGTAGAATAAAGTTTATTAATATGTTTCTGTAGTTAATAAAAAATTTTGAGTATTGAAATAAAAGTGAAATAAAATCCAAATCTGTATAATCCAAATCTACATAATTCTCAATGCCTTTGTAAATCATACCTTTATTCTCAAATAGAAACTTTTGGCATTAACTTAAATTACATATTCTTCTGCTTAGTCTATATCTTAAAAAATGTAATTTATAAGATATATAAAAAGGTGTATAATGAAAATTAGGATTTTTATCACTTTATAATCATTTATTTTATTTACATAATATACTATTAACATTTTATTATATCTTCTTCTGAAATATTCAACAAAATTCTTAATTTTTTATATAATTCACCTTCAAATCATATTACTGCATTTTCTGTTATTTTTCAACTAATAGAATATGATACATGGTATCTAAAAGAAGAACTGAGAGGAATAATTCATAATGTGATTAACAAGGTGAAAAACTTTGACCAACAAAATTCTGAAAAGTATTTAAAAATTGTTAATATTCCTTTGAAGGTTAGTGATTATTATTATTTTATTAGATTTATATTCCCAAATGATGATTACGCAGTAAAATATCCTATAATCAAATTAAATGAATACCTATAGTCATGTGGATACAGGTTTAAATCAATTGCATTAATTCTTTAGACACATAGAGTAGAACTTGATTTTGTGATTATTATTTTATTAGATTTATATTACTAAATGATGATTGCTTAGAAAAATATCTTGTAGTCAAATTAAGCTAGTACCCATAGCCATGTGGCACTGGTTTAAATTAATTGCATTAATTTCTTAGACATACAGGAGTAGAACTTAGTTCTGATTTATGAAGAAAAATATACCATTCATGTGCATTGTCAGTTGTATGCTGGCCACATATGATTGATAATTTATGTGAAATATTCAGATAGAAGCACAAGCATATTTTTATTATTTAAATTTTTAATATAAATACTAATATAAGATTTTTGTGCTAGTTTGATGATGCATATGAAGGTGTAAGTAGTCTTTGAAGAATTCAAGAATCAAAACAAGAACTGCTTTTCAGAAATGAAATAGAGACAAACTTGTATAAATTGAAAACTAATCTCAAAAAAAGCAATGTTCTATATGCTTCCCATTTTCAAAAATATTTAAAGAAGAAAAGTACTTCTAAATTATCATAGAATTAAAGATATGAGTGAAACTAAAATCTTAAGGTCGAAATGTTTCAGCTTTCAAGAACTAAAATCTGAAACTTTCTGATAATCCAAAACTAAGACGAAATTAGCGAAACTGACAAAATTGGCAAAACTAGATGAAACTAGTGAAACCTTCTGAAACTAGTTAGCCAATCAAAATAAATGCTAATTTAAACCTTTAATACTATTTAAAACTAATCTGTGCTAATTAATCA